CAACATATCGTCTACTTAGACCCAGGGTAGATCTGATATCTATAATAAGGGACCGATGGTCTAGCCATTTGAATATAGATATATAAAGCATCAGAAATATAAAATTCTTTAATCAAATAAAAAAACGGTCTGCTAAGTTTTCATCTTTACAATGACAAATAATCCATCGATGTCTCGCAACAAATGATTGGATTATCAATCGTACCAATCTAGAGCAACGAGGGCTGGCGCTTCCATGGTGTAAAGCATGTTTATCTGTTTTCCCCAACAAGAGAATCGGAGAAACAATTGAACATATATTCATCCAATGTCCTGGAACGGTATTATTATGGAGAAAATGAGACAGTGTGTGGAGAACATTGACAGGAATTGACTGGCCATGGGGTTGGAAAGTCATATTACTTGGACAATGGGAACCACAGGATATGCAACTTTCAGAATTTCAGAGGAATTTGTTCGAACTTGGTCGAAAAGTCATTCTATGGACATTATGGTACAAAAGGTGTGTCTATGAAAGAGAAGATGTAAAACTTGAAGGTATGGAATTTGCTGAACTAATTATTCAATTTGTACAAACAGAAATAAGAACACATTGGTCAGTAATAAGATCAAAGATACAACATCTCCATAAAAAAAAAGATAAAGTCGAATGTATTCAAAAATTCAATCAAGATTGGCTGGGAGGAAATGAAGGAAGGAGTTTGGGAGAAGTGAAATGGTCAGGGAAGGAAGAAAAATGTGAAAATTTAAAACGAGACTTCCTCTTGAGCTTTAAAGACTGGTTTTCGCTTCCTCTAGGAACCACACTCATATCTCCAGAATTTTTTTTTGATCCCTTCCCCCCATCAGAATTAGCAATGGTGGATTCACAATGGTATCCTCAATAAAGTATGAATGCAACATATATTGGATATCTCAGGCTTTGGTGACAATCTCATGTAAAACTTGTCTACAGTGTTGGGCTATTTTTTCGAATATTTCCAGGAGATAAGTTTTTGCTATATTTAATAGTAGTATCTGGCGGCGTGGTTTGGTTGAAGAGGCAATTTTTATCTCTACAAATTTTTATCAAGAAACAAAGACTATGTAAAAGGGACCCTGGACCCGGTTTCCAGCAGATGACGCTCCCCACCAATAGATGGAGTCCCTACCAGATGTTAGTGGTGTCTGCTCTTATCAGCAACACTAACATTGGTAAGGTTTAATTAAAAAAAAAAAAAGAGGTCGGTTTCTGGACCCACGACAGGTACCTCTCTATAGTCAGCAACTAATTTATGGGACCCAGACCATCCTATCTTGGAGGATCCCCCTCAGACAGCCCCTACTGCAGGTTCCCCAACGATTTCCTCCACCAGATTCTGATTTTGAGCAACGTGTGTTTAGGGCATCATACCCTGCCGTGCACGGACGGCCTCGAATCGGCACCCTCCGCCACAGGAACGAAGTATCGTAACCACTACAACCCTCGGAGGTGTTATAAAAACTGGATTCATACCAGTCGTGATATCCAGCCCACCTCCAGGGCTGCAGCGTCCTTGAACACAACACCACACACCCAACGCACACCACACCACATACTTAACAATCACGCACACTTCGTCGAACAACACGTAACCCACCACCGCTACCAAGCCCGTTCACACACACGGGCCAACTCCCCGCGGGTTCGCGGGTGCCTCACAGTGATTCTGAGCAACGTGTGTTTAGGGCATCATACCCTGCCGTGCACGGACGGCCTCGAACCGGCACTCTCTGCCACAGGAACGAAGTATCGTAACCACTACAACCCTCCAGAGTCTGTCTACTAACACCCATCCTACCGGGATCCCTTAAACCACCAGTACCTCGCTCAGTGTTCGGCCGCGGGCCTTCCCGTATACGCGCCGCAGCCTCAGGCTGGTCGGCCAACGGAAGGCCCGGTCGTAGCGCCAAGGCCGGGCCCCGCTTATGTAGGAACGACACACCATCAAAAAAAAAAGAAGAAAAAAAAAAGGAAAAA